AAAAAAATTTTATTAACTTGACGAGGGAAGTTGCCTACAAAGGAAGGACTTGACAGGGATCTGTAATCTGCTGTTCCTCCTCAGTGAGCCTGGGTCAGACTAGAACTCTGGCAAACAGTAACTTTTGAACGATGCCAACTGGGAATAAATGTGCACCCTGCCTACTCACCTAATGATGCTTTAGGTAGGATTTGCAGGGTCTGGCTGGAGTGTAGTAGCCTTCAGTTCATAAACTGCATTGTACTCATGAAGAAAACTCACTTCCACATACAGGACAGGGTAAAAAGATACAGACACATATAAACTGGAAAAAAGTCCCAAACCTCTGTGCTGATTGCGACCCACCAGGTAGTGGCTCACATTTCAAAACTTCATTCCATTTGAGAAAGGGGGAGGTAGGGACTGTGTCTGGGCCTTTAGAGCTACCTTAAGCTGTCCCTTTACCAGTTGTTGGTAAGCCTTGTGAGGTGATGACTGCATTTCTTAGAGCTGTGCTTTAATCCGCTGTGCACCAGGAAGGGCCCAGATGAATGCATTTCAAAAGCCACTTTCAGGCCTTTTATCACTCAGAAAGTAAACAGATGGTGTGCCCTGTTCTCTTCAGAGAGCAAAGACCCTGAAAGAATCCAGGAGCTCCCTGAACGCAGATGGCAAACACAGACAAAGTTTAAAAACACAGCCAAGCCCAGTGTACAATCACTACAGGCAGCCCACAGTCGTGGGTGAGAAATGGCAAGGAAACAGCCTGGACACGTGTGGTGGATTGTATACAAAACAGCAGACTTACACTCAAAGCGTGGAAATGTAGGGAAGTAGAATTCCTAGATCCCACTAGTAAAAAAGTTATAGAACAGTACTGAGCTTCTTTGCCTTAATATCCTAAGTGGGTTTTTGTGTCTTTGTTTTTTAACATGGGGATCAGAAAATACACTATTTTCTGTAATTTATTCTCAAGTAGTATAACCAGCTCTTTACTTCCAAACATTTCCTTAAAAGCCATAAACCTTTTTAATGGCAGCATTTTATGGCTGTGAAGAGCAGAAAAGTGCTGTGATTTCTCAGCCACCATAAGCTCAGCGACTTCAGGAGACTTTGAAGATCTCAGCGCCAGAGAAAGTTCATTTTTAGGGTTCTTCCTTGATGAAAGGGGCCAATATATTGGGGTGTATAAAAAAATCATAGAATAGGAAATCTGTCACCTTTGGGTGTTAACAATATTCCAAATCTGATTTAATACATTAATCATCACAAAGCTGTCAACATGTCTCCCAAGGGTAGTTTTCATGAGTGGATCTATGATCCTGTCATAGCTATAGACAGAAACATATGTTAAACTGGCTTGAATGGCACCTCCACCTTGCCCAACACCACCACCCCTGTGGCAAGAAAACTACTCATGAGCATGGCCAGCTGGAGAGATTCAGGGCCCAGGAGGACACAGCTTACCTGTGAAGGCAGGGAACTATATGATAACTTGTATGTATGTCTCTACTCAGACATACAATGTATTTGCTATACAGAGGTCGAGGTGGGAAAACCTACATTTATGTGAACATTTCTGTGCTCAGGAGCTGTCAAAGTTTCACTGCAGTGATATTTAAAAGGTACAAAATCCAGGCTCCATACCCCAAGACAAACTGACACTGTGAACTGATTTTAAGTGGGGATCTAAGGGCTAGAATTTAACATTCCACTTTTTTGAAATTTGTATTTATTAATTACATTTAGAATTGTATGATAGTTATTTCATAATGAAGTGGATGTTTGTAAAGTTCAGGCTTACAGAAATTTTAAATTCATGTGCAGGTCATTTATTCTTTGAGCTTCCTCCTGGTAAATTTAAGTTTCTGTGGAGCATGAGGTTTTCTGCATGAAAGGAACTCCATGGACTCATTATCCATGTTTTAAAATGTCACTGATTTCAAATTACATGGGGACTTTGCCATATGCAACATACAAAACACTGACCAATCCAAAAATTTGAAAAATATATGAAGAAAGTAATCTACACATATTTTACCCCTCGATAGGTTTCCAGCACAAGAGTCAGTAAGTTGTATAAAATATAATTTATGATGCTGGTCATCTACTATTTAACATGGTGTCTTCAAAAGTTGTTTAAAAAAGGAATAAGTTGGCTTACAAACTTCAAATGACCAACTCACACTGGCTCAGTCCAAACAGCTCATGCATGGAGGGGCGCTCCTGCAAAGTCAGGGGGCCCCAGAGCCAGCTCCTGCGGCATCTCTTTGTTTTGTTTTGGCCACTCCTGTAACTGTAAGAACTTTTGTATTTGGATGCATTTGATGAAGTCAAAAGTGATTTTACATCTGGCTCTTTTAATAAAAGCAACTGGCTGTTACAGTAAAGACAATGTTCAAAACAAGACAGTGCTAATCACATGTTATAAAAATAACCGGAGTCTTGGCCCTCCCTGGTGGCGCAGGGGGTTAAAGCACAGCACTGAGAAGCTAAAGCCACTTCCGCATAAGTTCAATTCCCGCCTGCCCCGGAGGTGACCACAGGGCGCGGCAGACCTCTCCTGACCCGCCCGCTGCTCCCCTCAGCAGTGGACTTCCTCAGTCGGCCTGTTCTGCTCCCCACTCTGTCTCTGGTAAATCCTCTCAACCTCCACATCTCTGGCCTGTACCCCCGTTCTGTATGAATAAGTAAATAATAAAAAAAATAATAACCGGAGTCTTTTTCCTGCCCAGAATCAATGGATCAAATTCCATAATTCCACTGTCTTCCAGACATGCACACTAAATAAAGTTCCAAGAAAAAAACGTTGGCAACCAAAAAGCTTAAGCCTTTGTCGTTCAGCCTTCAGTGAAGAACTTTGCTATCTCTCTTTTAGTGATGGAATTGAGTAAACTTTTTCATTCCTTTCCTCGACCTTGCCTAATCTTTTCAGGATGCTTTCATGAGAATAAGGGCCATTAGTAACTAGAAATAAAAGAAGCTTTCTTTTTTGCTAATCTTTCACTCTGATACACATAGAAATGTTAGTTGTAACCATATGAACTTATATGCCTGTTTTATTGTTAATGAATTGTTTGTCCAGATGCAAAAAGGAATAATCATAACATTGTTAGCTGTGCTTTTCTTAAAAAATGATAAATGTTACAATCTTGGCTAAAGGTCAAAAAGACCTCAAATTGTTCTTTCAAAAAAACGTGCTAATTGTTATTTTTCTGCACATGTTGATGTAATCCACTGCTTGCTAACATATAAATATGGTCGCACCTAAATGACACTTGCACCTAAACAAGGGCTTGTGTCCCTTCATTCATTCATATTCACCGACGCTGTCATTTCCTGCGGGATCCCTGACACCCAAATTCTGGAGCTGGACTCTGGCACCAAACCTCACTACAGTGTTTGTCTGGCTATGCAAAAAACTGTACATGAGTATTATCTTGTGTTACTGCAGCTGGTCACTGGCAACGCCACCTCGCACTCCACCCCAGAGGTGCCTGCGCACAACCTTACGTGACATGAACACGACATGTGATGGTTGCGAAGCAGTCAGGTCACCTCTAGACTGATTTCTGAATGGCGTTAACAGGAATGGTTTCAGCAAGTCTTATTTGAGCTTACGAGTTTGTTTTTCTTCTATAGAATCCCCACCTATCCCTGTGAAAAAAGCTCTTATACAGGCAAACCATGGACTTTATGCTACAGCAAGGAACCAAATGCGAGTAATATTTCTAACAGTGGCCAGAAAATACTAAAACACTTATGTTTCTTACAGTTTTAGGGGTTCGCTTTGTTATTTTTCTAACATTTTTATGGTTTTTATTTAAATGTATTTTTTTAAGAAGAAACAGAGTAATGATCTCAAATAGTAATACACACAAAGCTTGTGGAGCTTTTGAAAATAATAATTACAATGCAGATTCTCCAGGACAGAAAATCAGCATATCCCAAGGTTGGAAAGAATGTATGACCTTAGATTTTAATCTTTCACTTTTATAAGAGGACAGAGTAAGGAAACTCCCTTGAGAGTTGTCAAGGGAAATTCTGACGACACATGAAGGACACACAGATGCTACAGGCACTGACAAAGTCCCTCCACTCAAGTGCCTTCCTCACACAGTCATCTGGAGCCAGAGTCCTTCCAAAGCACCCTCTTCATAGCTCCCTTCACATCCTTGTTCCGCAGAGTGTATATGAGGGGGTTCATCATGGGAGTAATGACGCCATAAAAGAGAGTTGTGAACTTGCCCTGATCCTGAGAGTAGTTATTGGTGGGCTGCAGGTAAGCATACATAGCTGTGCCATAGAACAGGGAGACCACCAGGAAGTGGGACCCACATGTCCCGAACGCTTTTCCCTGCCCAGCTGCTGACTTTATCCGTAAGACAGCCCTGACAATACGGCCATAGGAGAACATGATTAACGAAACAGGAATGAAAAGAATGATGACGCTCACAAAGAACATCTCAGACTGAGTCTTAGTGATGTCGACACAGGCAAGCTTGAGCAGCGCAGGGATCTCACAAAGGAAGTGGTCTACTTTATTTCTCCCACAAAGTGGCAGGAGGAAGGTGAGCACTGTCTGCAGTAATGAGTTGGAAAAACCAACTATCCTGGCCCTCCATGGTGGCACAGCGGGTTAAAGCACAGCACTGAGAAGCTAAAGCCACTTCCGCATGAGTTCCATCCCCGCCTGCCCCGGAGGTGACCACATGGCGCCACCGCAGACCTCTCCTGGCCCACCCGCTGCTCCCCTCAGTGGGAAGGAGAAGGGCACCGTAGGTCTGGTGAAGGGATGAGGGTGCTGTGGTGCTGGGTGTGGGGTGGTGAAGAGCATCTGAGGAGGTGTGAGCCTACTTCCCTGAGTCCTCCACGGAGCTATATGCCAGTGTGACCTCCAAATAAAAGAAGTAAAAATTGAGACTCCAAGTCAAGGCCACCTTGACAGTAACACACTTTACTAAGTTTATGCTGAATATAAAGTCTATGTAATGTGTAGTTTTACTTTGTCACTGCCTCGTACAGCTAACATGAGCTAAGGGAAAAGTTACAGTGCTTGAATGAACCCCTAAGTCGATGACCTTTTTTTTTTAAAGATTTATTTATGCTGACAGAACTGGAGTACAGGCCAGAGGTGTGGTGCGTGAGAGGATTCACCAGAGACAGAGTGGGGGCAGATCAGGCAGATGAATTGAAGCACACCACTGAGGGGAGCAGTAGGATAGGTCAGGAGAGGTCTGCCGCTCCACGTGGGTCAGCTCCCTGGCCAGGGATTGAGATGGTGCTGCAGTGGCTTCGGAGGCTTCATAATGCGGTGCTTCAACCTGTTGTGCCAGCAGGGAGGGCCCTGATGATCATTTTTTAATTCTGGGTATTAGTGGTTTTGTTCTCTTTCCTTCTAGGTGAAGACTTATGGTAGTGCAAATTTTCCTCAAAACACATCAAAATTACTTTTTCTTTAAAAAGAAGATTTAGGACTCTCCCTGATGATGCAACGGTTAGGACGCAGTATTGTAAGCTGGCTGCAACAGCCTCAGTGCGAGTTCGAGCCTTGGACCCAGAGGTGACCACATGGTGCTGTAGAACTCGCCTGACCCGCCCGCTGCTCCCTCAGCGGTGTACTTCATCGATCCGCCTATTCTGCTCCCCCCTCTGTCTCTGGTGAATTCTCTCACCGCTACTGCACCTCTGGCTTGAGTCCCAGTTTGTATGCATAAATAAATGAATCTTTAAAAAATAATAATTCTTTACTATTAAGATGCTGAAATATGCATTCATAATCTAGCCTCTTAAACTAATATCTACTTGTTGGGGATTTACATGTACTCAGCATATAGAGAGAGAATAAGAAAACTTTTTTCTTTGCAATATACTACAATTAGACTCTACATTGAAACGATATTTAACCTCCCAGAATACAAAAAAACTAATTTAAACATGTTGCTGAGAACCTAGGAAGCCCTGGACATAGAACTCAGCGCTGCAGAGAGAAACAGAAAGAAGCAAATTTTCACGTCCCAAATGAGTTCACATACTACCATGGCTGCTAAGAATTCTTACCTCTGTCACGAATTTGCTATAACAATAATTTAGTAGGTGGTAAAGGGTCTCAAAAACAGGAGCAAGTAGGAATTTTATAAAGAAATTAGGTCATCATAAAAAATGTGAATATTGAACAAAGTTTGGTTTGGACATGGGCTGTGCTGTGTCGGAAAACAGAACAGGACAACACATGCTGGAATGTGTTCCCACGAACAGTCCACAAAACAAACATACTTTTATAGAGTAAAGTTGTGATGTGTATTGAATCCTGTAGACAATGGTAGCCCAGGGTATTTCAACAAACGAAGTGATGTGATTGTGTCATTTAGGAAAAATAATTCAAATAGCCCCACAGAGGACCTAGGAGATTAATTAACGGTGGATACAAATGTAAAAAATCTTAATTAATATACTGATAAGAAGTGTGTGCATGAGAGTGGCTCTGTTCTAAAAAACACCTCATAGAGAATCAGCAAAGCCTAGGTTGTTGAAAAAGAAATAAAAAGAAAAAAACCAAAGCTAATTAAGGGAGTGTACTGATGAAATGTACAAAATGTACGGAGCGGAGACACAGATAGTGCTTGTGTATATTATGCCTGAAAGCTGCTGAGAGAAGACTCTGAGAAGCCCTCGCCAAAAGACAGGCTGACTGCGGTGCCCACTGGCACTATCTGCGGACATCAAGTCCTCACGCTGCACACCTGAGACTAAAATAATGCTCTTTGCCAATTACAGCGCAACTAAAAGAATTTCAAGACAACCAAACGACGGCAAGCAAGCCACTTGGTGTGGGGCATGTGTTGGGTCTGCCTCTGCAGAGACTTTGCCTGCTGTTGCTCCCCAGGGGCAGCCAAACTCTGGCTGCTACAACTGAGGCTAACGATTGGGGACTCTCTTGGGGCTGTGAGAAACAAACCCAGCCTCCAGCAGCTCGGTCCCTGCAGCAGGTACTTTGACTTTGGTGGCTTAGGAAAACATCCCTCACATAAAACAGCAGCGCTCCCACTCAGGCGCAGGTCCCCAAGAACCCACACAGACTGCACCTCCTGTTCAGTTAGAGACTCCGCTTCCGCTCTCTTATACTCCCTCCAAGGTACTGAACACTGTAAAATGAATGAGCACCAGAATCCAGCAAGCCAGCGCTCACCTTTCCACACATGTGCGAGCAAATTACTCCTGAGGCAAGACTAGGCTACATGAATGACCTGGCACAAAAGGGTAAGAAGACTGTG